AACTCTGATTTGTACACTCATATCAGGTCATACTAACATCAATAAAATAGGTGAGTTAGTCACATTAATGGGTTATGAATAAGATTACCCTGGCCTAACTCTGATTTGTACACTCATATCAGGTCACACTAACATCAATAAAATAGGTGAGTTGGTCACATTAATGGGTTATGAATAAGATTACCCTGGCCTAACTTTGATTTGTACACTCATATCAGGTCATACTAACATAAATAAAATAGGTGAGTTGGTCACATTAGTGGGTTATGAATAAGAATACCCTGGCCTAACTCTGATTTGTACACTCATATCAGGTCATACTAACATCAATAAAACAGGTGAGTTGGTCACATTAATGGGTTATGAATAAGAATACCCTGGCCTAACTCTGATTTGTACACTCATATCAGGTCATACTAACATCAATAAAATAGGTGAGTTGGTCACATTAGTGGGTTATGAATAAGAATACCCTGGCCTAACTCTGATTTGTACACTCGTATCAGGTCACACTAACATCAATAAAATAGGTGAGTTGGTCACATTAATGGGTTATGAATAAGAATACCCTGGCCTAACTCTGATTTGTACACTCATATCAGGTCACACTAACATCAATAAAATAGGTGAGTTGGTCACATTAATGGGTTATGAATAAGAATACCCTGGCCTAACTCTGATTTGTACACTCATATCAGGTCACACTAACATCAATAAAATAGGTGGGGGCAGTCTTCAGTTCAATTCAATGTATAGATTTGGTCAACATATCAGGGACTGTCAGAGTGCAGACTATTCATCACTCACCTCTAGTATACTGACTACGTAAAAGAATAGTAACAAATACGGTGGTGCGAAAATCAGTCTGTCAATTAAAACTCGCTTTATCCCGGCATAGCTTGTATCCTTGGTAACCAACGTATCTAACAGATGATAAATGTGATGTATGACAGGACCAGAGACCACAAAACTGAAATAAGAATGAACTATATCAATTTTGAGTCTAGCTGTATTTCATATACCAGTAGGCGATATTTTGTTGTGTAACCAAGCAAATGACCTTTGACATATCCATTGGCTGTATTTGCCTAGCAACAGATGATATTGTGGAGTGTGTGATGCAGAGTAAAGCACTGTCGTAATTGTGTGTTGGAAATATATGGGTCATGCTTTTATTGCAGTACCATACTGGGATGCTGTTTTGACCCTTTTATCACTGAGGTAAATCTTTTGAAAGAAAGAAATCTTCCTCTTGATGGTATTTTACTAGAAGTTTAAATGAACAATAGACAAGTTTTGAGTTTCTGGGTGTGTTCCCTAGTTGCCTTGTTCAACCAGGAAACCATGACAACTTACCCAAATGTAGATATAGCAGCTACACTTCTCCAATGTATTCCTGTATATGGTAAGTGGGATGGTCCACGACTTGATACTATCTTCTGTGCTATGATATCTCCCAATGCACTTATAATTGCACTGTAAATAAATGTACAATTGTACTTGTAAGGCCAGATAATATCAATAGTGTGAACAAAACATTGAAATCAAAAGTAGGATAGGCAGCATTACTTTTTATTTCATCGAATCCAATTAATCATTCTCAATTTATCATTCCCCAGTGGTGCTTGACCCATTTTGTTATATGAGAGTATATTTTGTTACGGTAATACACCACATCTTGCGTGTACAGGCTGACATTTTGATTCAAAAAAGAAGAATTTCAAGTAGAGCTGAAAGAGGAACCTACAGTGTTCATTCAGTCTGCCTGAAAAATCATGGCAAGGTTGGGTTACTGGAAACACATTATGTTATTATTTACTATTATAACCCTAATAATACAAGTATACAGAAATGGGCTTCAGAAACCTTTGTGGAAAACATTGATACTAAAGGCCTGAACAGATTAATTAATTGGCTGTAACCTCTACCCCCCCACTCCAGCACAATAATGTCCCCTGGACGACGTTCTGTTCAATGGATGTCTTCAACCCTTCCTCACTCTGGAAATTGGATTATGACTGAAAATTACATTTTTCGTACATTTTAAAGTAACTGATGTATTGTCAGCAAGTTTGCAATGTTTTTTATTCAATTTCAAAAAACTCAAGGTAGCGAGACTATTATGTTGAAAATTACGATTTTCACATTTATTTATTAATTGATGAAATGCACTATAAACTATCATATGATAAAGTCAACATAACATAGAATGTCATGTAAGTTGGTTAAAAAGTTGATTTTCTGAAGGGAAGCAAGGCAGCCTCAGTAGTATTTTTCAAAATCAACAACACACGTTTAATCTGTGTGCCTATAAGTTTCAAAGATTAACTCAAGACAAAGCAATGTTAGGATGTGTTATCAGTAGCTTTCTGACACACAATTAGTGTTTCCAAACATTTGAGTGGTTTGTCTCTGCCTCTGTTTATTTCACAGATTAGTCATTTGCATATGAATGTATCAGACACAAGGTCACACAGCCACTGAAAACAAATCATTGATTTCGGTGTTTTCATATGCCGAATTTATCGAATTATAGCTATCATATTCCTTTATTTTTTTGGTTTCCAATAGCCTTACACATTTGAATGCCCCTACACATGTTAAAACAGACCTTGAAGGAAAAACAAATTGATTGTGCTGATAAACAAGCTTGAAAATCTTTGCTGTGACATCATGGACGTTTTCTAGAAGTTCATATTTTTCAAAATACAAGGTCTTTAACAAAAAATAATGTATACTTATTGTCGTTGGATTAACACCAAATTTTCACAGCTCTAAGGTTACAATGAGAGGAACTTGAATGTGACCAGACTATCTATTTCGTGGATTATTTACCAACGTGTTGTGGTTTGAGTTGGGGGCAATGCAACTAAAACGAAAATTAAAATTCAGCACACTCTTTTTAAAACGCATTACTTGAATAAAACTGACAAGACACATTCAATTTACCTTACTATTGAATAACTAGGACAAGTAAAAAAAAACTTCTTATCACCAGCATAAATGCGTAATTATTTTTTTTACAAAAAAAATAATTTTCACCTTTGATTGAGTAACGCATCAAAGAATGCATATACGGGCATGACAAACACACTTTTGAAAAACTTGAAGTCTGGCGATTCTAAAAATATATGCCTTCTTGGATCTGTTTGTAGTCATTTAGTCACAATTAGAAGATGAAAACAAGTATGCAAATAATAGTCTCGCTACCTTAAAGTAGAGATGCAGGTTCGTGGGCACTTGGAAGTGAATTTTTTTTTTTTTTGCCTTTTATTATTCAAAAAGTCTTGGCTATAGACTGTTGAAATTTTGTAGAATTGTGAATAGTGGAACATACTCAAAAAACGATTTTAATATATAGATTGTTTTTAGTTGAATAGTGTTACAGCAATCGTACAGACAACTAGCCTGGGTGTAAATTTATGCATAAACTTGAAGTAGTGAAATTTGAGCTGCTGCCCTACAAAATTTACAACTGATAGACAGTTTTCAAGACGGCGCTTTCTTCATAGTAAACAGATGTACCCATAAACCAATTTTGACAGGAAACAGAAGCATGGTTTAGAAGCAAATTTTTTTAAAATCACTTTTGACCAAAAAAGCACATTTTTGTGCATATTTCAAACTACAGTGTCCATAAAAATAAAATACTAACAAAACTTTAAAATTCATACAATAAGCTTTCCGAAAATATATAGTTTTGTGGACAAAGGAGGATATCTTGGTTTCCTAATTAACTAATTAAAAATAACTGTCAGGTAAACTGCATCTCTACCTTAATGCATCAATATGGTCAATTTGGTTCATTATCTCATAAACTTGGATCATGTCCTTACTCTTACAATGATAAACTAGTGATGTCTACATAGATGTTCTTCATATAATAAATTCCTTAGAACAGATAATCTTTTTTTTTTGGGGGGGGGGGGGTAATTTTTTTTGTGCCAGGCCAACAGTTCTGGACATTGAATGTCACTGTTGTTTCTCCTGATTTTTTTTGTATGTGCAAATTGCAAGTTCTAGTGCTGACACATAGTCCATTTTTGCCACGGAAGACATATTCATGTTTGGGACTACATGACAGGCAGGTAGCCCTTCTTTAGCCTTTTTCAATTTCAATAACGTCTGTATTAAAATGAGGTGATCACATGACATTTCCATATTCCAGGTGAGGTCTAACTAGTGATGTGAAAAGCCGAGGTTCCATACTTTCATTCAGTGTAGTAAGACCTGGCATTCTTGATGTATCAAATGATGAAACATTAATTCTATATTAACAATAACTCCCAATTCTTTTTCTGTTTCATCTGCCATCAGTACAAAGCCATTTATTTCGATATTCACCTTAGGGCGACTAGATCCAAGGTGCAGAACTTTACATTTACTGTAAAATTCTTTATTGTAGCTGGAATAAATTTTCGCTGAAAAGACTTTTTGGATGTTTTGTATGGAACTCATTGGAAAAAAGGTATATTCGCTGGATTTTATTTTCACCTTCAGCGAAAATAGCGAAAATTGATTCTAAGCGAAAATAAAGTATTCTGACGAAACTTGCTGAAATACGATTCAGATAAATATCACACTAAGTATTCTCTGTTTGATGATTAAAGATAGACTGTATTATAAAGTCAGATATTAGTACCCAAAATTGGCATGCTTTGAACTACCTTTTAATACAGTCTCTCTATATATTAGTTTATTGTATCACGTTGTCAAATCAAGTTATTCACATGTTCTAAAAAATCGTAATCATGGTAAAAGTTGTTCATTTCTGAGTATTATAATGTTGTAAGAACCTGTTGCACTTTCTGATCGTTTTTTTTTATGCATCAAGCATGATTTCTATGTTACCAATATATAAAGAAAGTCACCCTGCACAAGATTGTAAGGCTAACCAAAGACAATAAGACGAATATGAATTTGGACGAATCGACTTGCGAGACGAGTGTCGATTGGGACAAATTGGCTGTTAATGAAAGTTTGGTATCTAGCAGCCTTGAAATGGGTTTCCAAACTCAACCTAAACTTGATTCAAGATAAACCATTTTTGTTTTCAGGGAAGGTTACAGCAAAAAACAATATATAATATAATTTTAGGCTGTAAACTCACTCCCCCTCCCAGCGATATACCTGCATGCTGTTCTGTTTCATGTCATGAACCTTCGTTAAACACGAAACACTCGATTCACAGTCAATTCATTCAAATTCATATTTGTCCCAACATATTCGTCCCACAAGTCGATTCACACCAATTCACATTCGTTTCATTTCACATTCTTCCATTTTTTTGGCATGGACGTGTTAGTACGCCCATGGGCAGGGTGATGTCTATTTCAAGTGTGTGTTTAACAGGTTTTGCCTAATTATTAGCTGTACATTTATGCGTTGGCTGTCAATCATGGTATATTTGTATAATTTGTTGTTACTTGCATACTTTTGCAGTATTGTTCACATGATACATATTCATATTTTATTTTTAATTTCAAATATAACTCTGGTGCGATTTGTTTTAACATGACATTTTATTTATCTTATAAATATATAAAACTCCATATTTATGTTGCCGGACTTGATACTAGACACTTTCAGATAAGCTTAGACGAGTACACATCAATTGTTGAAAAACACGTATTTTTATTTATTTTTTTCAGAACATTAATATTTTACACTATATCTTGACTATGAATATATCCTCAGTTTCTCAGTTTGAAACCGACGGATTAACGTACTGCAAAATGTTAAACAATAAACGACCGGGAAGTTGTGCGTACTGGGAGAGTTAGTAGCGAGATAACTTAAATCTGACGAATCAACTTTTTTTTTAAATTAGATTTTTTTTAGTTTATAGTTTGATTTTCTTTTTGTAAGACCCTTTTCATCCTTTCCAACGGATTTTATGCGTCTAATAAATATTGGGATGAAACAACTTGTAGGACGAATCGACTTGGGACGAATGTGATTTCGGACGAATCGACCGTCCCCCGAAACACCTCACCCCTGAAAAATTAACATTCTGACCTTGTTACAGCTTTCGTGAGGACAGGCCTGCTTTGCAAGAGCCGCAAATACTCAGTGATCAACTTCTGGATCAATGGATCATCTGCCTTCCTCGTACTCGAACTACCGTTCATTTTTAACGATGATTTGTACAAAGAAAATCAAAGACTTCACTCCCTGACCGTGGCTGAACTTACGTCAATCACGTATGTCCTTAGTGGAACAAGGTCAGGTGAGGTCACAGTTCTCGGCTGCGTTGAACGCTAGTTGGTTGGGTACCGTATTACCAGGTTCAACTTGAGACGGATCGGTAGAAAGTAACACAAAATCCATGGTCAGATTTGAAGAAACGTAGCAATCGAAAGGAACTTACTGAGAAACGATATTCTTGAACTTTGCCCTCGCATTTACGATCAGGTGATGAATGTAGGCGTCACCACTTCTCGCATTTGACGAGACTTTCGCGAAAGCCGCCATACTTTATAATTATCGTAGATTGATGTATTAGTAGTCTGTGGCTCGGTTCGATCCTGCGGTTCGATAAACATAACAAGCGCCGAAGACGATAATGTTCGAGGAACATAAGCAATAATCACTATGGACACGAAGAAACCACGAGAATTTGTCCTCTGCGTGCTGATACTTGTGAAAGGTACGTGTGAATTATATAAGAAAAAAAGAACTGTTGTCGCAAAAATAAAAGTGACATTAAAATGCAAGGTGTCCAAAACAGCGTATATTAATTTTATCTGTCAGCTTCATATTTCGTAATAATGAAGTCTACGGCTGTTTCACTAATTACACATAACCATGGCGGATATTAGTCTTTGAATTCCGTCTTGTGTTCCCTGCACATACAATACAGTCATTTATTGCATTCATTTAAAAAATACATTTCTTATTCTGGCGAAAAGCAATATAATTATTTCGTTGTTAGTTGGTGGTAAAATGTGTTGAAATTCTACCTTCGGCTGTAGGTAACAATTATTAGTAATTTTTATTGAGTAACAGATGTTTCTTTTTTTTTTCTGGAAGTGTTTTGCTATTAATATAGAAAGTAAAACTTCCTTATAGTCACAATCTTCTTGTGAATTAAGTGTGAATAACTGTTACTACAAACCGTGGGCAGGCGAATGATGTAAGATGGAACCCCCCATTACACACTAAAGAATAGGTGCCACATTTATGAATTGTATTTTACATTCTGAGGTAACACAACAGAATCCCCCTATTTTTTGGCAATGTTTGATAAAGTATATTTTTCAGATCAGTTTGTCGTGTATGAACTTTGTTATTGTTTTTTAAAAAATGCAAAACCTGTCATAAAACTCGGTCAAAACATAACAAAATTAACTGGCCAATTAATCCAAATTCATAAACTGAAAACCAATTACCCATGCTTGGTACGTAGGATTGGATTAGAAGCTATTTAGTTATTGGCTGTTGGTGTTAAAATTGCTAATTATTTATAATTCTTTACCTTCTGTGTTAGGTTTGTAGTTGTTTACCATATTTGTGAAAAACAGATGAATCCACTCAAATAATCTGAAATTATTGGTTACTTTAGAATACTTTTTTTTTTTCGCTATTTTCACTGAAGGAATGATTCAGTGGGAATAAAATCCAGCGAATCCTTTGGTCCAAAATCAGTGAAAATAAATTCCAACCAAAACACCCAAAAAGTCTTTTCAGCGAAAATTAATTCCAGTTAAAATAAAGTATTTTACAGTAGTTTGAGGATTACTTCTTCATTGCAGTAGCATGAACAAATTTATATTTTTCTAGGTTCCAAATAAAATGAGTTTCCTTAATCTTTTCTTGGTATCCTCACCAGCTTGCTTGTGACTCAGCCTGTGTAGGTGACTTACTCCATGAAAACAAAAGTTAAAAATTAATGCACAGTTTACACAAGAGCATTTTTAGCTTTTTACTTTTTCGACTTCTTTTTGAAAATTTCGCTTTGGTACTTGATGTACATCTATCCTGGGCAGACCTCCCTGAGATTTGTTAAATTCTCTAATTTTGATGAATATTCTTGCCATTTTTGGTAAAAAGTGATATTTTTGACTTGTTAAAAACGGCAAGTCCAATTGCTTTGATATTATATATATAGGTACCTCAGATAGACCTCTCTCAGATTTGTTCATTTCATGATGAAATCTTCAATTATCTAATTTTGATGAATATTTTTGTCATTTTTGGTAAAAAGTGACATTTTTACTTCTTGTTGAAAACTGCAAATCTGATTCCTTTGATACTATACATATTGTTCATTTTAATACATTAGTGGCCAAACAAAGGCCCAGGAAAAAAACAAATTAGGCATGGTTCATTTTTATCTGAACTATAGGGCTTATCAGAGCCAAACCTTACTCATGCTGGATTGAGCCAAATGTGTTTGTTTACATAGTCATTCTTGCTGGCTGGATTCATTGGGCTCCAATAAAATCCATGTAAACAAGATAAATAAGGTAATTCTGAAGTTATTGCTAGCCTGTCGCTAGGATAGGTTATAAATGAAGCTTTATGTATACATTCATATAGACAATATCTCCCTACTTGACAAATTGATTTTCACATACATCTTGTTCACTTTATTTCACACACAGTAGGTTGACAAAGGTTACGTAAATAGAATAAAATAATTCTACGGTATAATATATGACATTTCTTTTTACGTTCTAAGTCATTTGACCAGTATTTGCTCTATTAGTGTTGTCTTCACTTATAAAGATGTGTTTCCATGGTTATATTAACTTTTTCAGAGTCGAAGTCAACTTCCGTAACCTTTCATTTTTCATATTTATTTTCAAAAAATGTTATCAAACCAGCAGAAATTTGAAATTATATTCATTTGATTCAAAATTGTCAATAATATTTTATAGATAAAATGTTGTACTGAAATGCTGGTCGAGAAATTTGAGTTATAGCACCAACAGTCTGCGAGAGTGGGTTGGTGGTGATTTCCAGCTCGCACAATTTGTTTCCCTGGTTTCAGCCATTCTGATGAGCTATCAAATACTTCCGCAGCAAAATCAACCCCCCTACGCAGACGAAATTGGAACGTTTTTACACTAGATCGTGCAAGTTACATAGGTAATGGCGGAGCTTGATACTTATCCATTGTCATAGTCATACAAGCAGTAACAATGATACACATCTTGTATTGCAGGCTTTGATTACTGTCTATCATCCGCTTTGCTACCACATCAAGGTATATCCACGTTAAATGATGCCACAGACAGCAACAACCCAGGTATACCTGTAGATGATATACAACTACCTAGCAGCATTGATGTCAGACCTTCAAATCAGAAAGGTAGGTATGAATAATGTGCATTGCTGTGGCAATACTTTCATAGAATGTGTAAATTATATAAATGCTGCTCAAAGTAAAGGCCTTCCAACTTGTTACAGGGTACAAAGAGTTGTGAAACTTGTTTTATTATACAAATACATTTCTTTTTGGAAAGGTACTTCAGTGATTGTGACATATCTTGTCAATTTCTTGTCATTGGTGTGTAGATTCTTGTTCTCAAAACCAAGATATAAACACATGGCTGACAATTACTTTTCACACAAAAAGATCAAACATCCATGAATTTTGCAATTTTGAGCTGCAATTTACCATTACTACCTTTGGTAAAATAGTCTCCATATTTCTCAAAATTGTATTTGATAACTTATAGTGTACAAAATAGCTATAAAATGGGTTAATTTTCTCAATGATGATTAATATTTTTTTTTTATGAAATAATTCTTAAACATGGATTTTATTGCATTTTATTCAGACAGTTGTTCTTAAACTAAATATTGTGTACTTAGAAATTACTAGCAACAAAGATTAATCAATTTTTTGTCCCATTGTGATGCCTGTGAACCTTTATTTCAACTCTTATGTGTATACATTATGTTTACCATTCATCACCTAGCCTGTCATTATAAGAGGTATCCATGGTGATTCATCTAGAGACTTGTAATTATTTGTAGCACGATGCATGTGCATGCACAGCCCTAGCATTAAGATTATCACTCTTGCTATTTTGACACCTGTTACCCTGGAAACAACTTGTGTTGAAATATTGTTTCAGTTTGTAAAGTTACATAATTACATTAAAGTGTGGTAGTCGTCGCGCATGTGCGACATTTGTGTTGATAACCAGTAATTTTCCCATAATCCAATGCGCTCTTCAAATGGAAATCACAAGTATGAGGTTTGACCTGGGCGCGACTTGCACTGATTACCGCCGGTGACTCCTTCGATACCTTCCAATAACATGAAAATTGCTTAATTAAAGCTTGGAAACGTCTCATTTCACACTCGTTTATCTGCGCAACAGTCATAGCCGCCATTTTTGTTCATATGAGACCCATATATCTAGCACATGCGCAGTGCGACGACTACCGCGCTTTAACTTAACATGCTTCCATATTCTTGACTTCTTTCTTGTGTAACAAAGCATATGCTTTGCATCCTATGTAGTGTCTCTGCAGTTAAATTTTATTACTATTATTATGAGTTACTTGTATATAGAAATTGTACTCTTGTGTCAGAGGTCAAAATTAAGGCCTATTCACCTATCGCAGACTGACTTAAGCTAAAACTGGTAAATGTATAACTTCCATGTCCATGTCGACAGGTGGATAAACAATTGTGTCAACACAAAATTTGCTTTTTTTAAAAATCAGTATTCTATTTTAAACTGATGTCTTAGCTAGTTTAGCTTGTACATCTATACCTTGGACAGGCAAGTTTGGACGACCAAGTTAAATTTTTATTTACCTGAGTAGAATTCACTTTTATTTTTTCTCATCTAACTTGCATGTAGACGAAATAAAAATAAATGTACTGACTACTTAAATATTGTTGTTGATTAAACATGAAAGAGTGGTGCAATGGTGTAAAATCTAAATTTATAATCCAGAATTGGGAAAACTTCACTGTAAACAAAATCACAAACAGGTTTTGTAAAGTAATCAACAAGCTAGGTCAAACAAAATGATGTCAAAGGAAAAAACATTAAAAAAAAGCTACCTTTTGTTAAAGTGTATGTAATAAAAAACTAATAATATATTATTTGTTGGCCCTAATATGCTATGCTGAAGCTATTTCAACTGTCAGATCATTTAGTCAAAAATAACTCATTTGGACATAATTTGTGAGAATAGCTATCCCATGCAGTATATTATGTTATAATTTATTTTACAACCTCATTTGCATATTTAATTGATTATTCCAAATTGTTTCTATACCAATCATGCTCTTCATTTTCACACTTTTATGCCTTCAGCACATAGGCACTGTTTATAAGCAGTTTCATTGATACTTATAATACATTAATGCCACAATGTCATTCTGGTTGTTGCTATGGTGATTGAGTGATTTAATAAAGAAATATATCATTTTGTCCACTGAATATAGATGGTAATTAGATTTCCTAGTGGACTGACAAATTCAATCTTGTATTTAACTGTTTTTAGCTCATCAATGAATAATGTTTTTTATCATACTAACCAATTTCCATGGAATATTTTCAATAACTACAATATAAATGACAAGTGACATTTATTACGGCAAATCAACTCTTCGCTGAATGTAAAATTGCAACAGTAATTGATCATGGTGAGAATAATAAAAAAAAATCATGTCTAAAAGTGCAGAAAATATGTTAAAATTATTTTATAAAATCTTGATTCAATGTTTCTTAATGCACAGAAAACATTATTTAAAAAAATATTTTTTTTATCTGAGTATTATTAAATTTTGAATATTTTAAGTTCTGTATTGCATGCATGTTAAGGCAGGGATTGAAATAGAATTTTTTCCCTGCATGCATAGTGTGCATGTTGAATTTGAAATTTACCTGCACTAACAAGTTGTGAAATGCACTACTTTTAAATTTTAAATAAAATTTACGGGTTCACGATTGATGCGATCACGAAAGAATTGTTGTTTTTTTTAGTTGTTTCACAATGTTGGTTGAACTTAATTTAGGTTTAGTGAATATAATGAGAAAATGTTGTTTCTACATGCACAGCGTGCACATTATATTTTGAGTTTACTTGCACTAGCTAATAATCTACATCTATGTGCATAGTGCAGTGTGCACCTGGGTATTTCGATCCCTGTAAGGCCAAATAATAACATAGGTGTTGTGTTCCTATAAGCCTACCTTAACTAAAATCTTTTGCTTACCTTAAATATTTTTTGGCAAACAAAAAAATTGATGCAAAATCACACAAGATTTCTATGAGACTTGAATAAAACTGATTTTTTCAAACCAGATTTTGGGCCAAATTGAGAATGAACAGAGGTTTCAATGAGTAATCAGCAAGCTAATACAAAGTAAATAATATTTGAAACTGAAAAAAATTAAAATCTAATTAAATTAACATTTATGTGGCCTAAAGTGAAAAAAAAATGGGATACAATTTCATTTTTCAAAACCAACATTACTATAATGCATTAGTAATTCATCGGTTTTTAATTTCATTATTTTCACTGATAGGTATACACAATTTTTGGGACTAATGCGTTTGATATACACAACTTGTAGAAAGCTACTGCAAGTAATGATTAATTTGTGAACATGTAAAATAACAAAAAGACAGAAATGTGTTTGCACCATATTGGTTTTGCAAAGGATTATGGGATGGAAAATTGAACTACAGAAGGCATTGGAGGAGAGAGGGGGACAGACATACAGACGTACATACAGCCCTGTGCTAACATCAACTGTAAACCTCTCCTGTTTTCAAGCAAAGTATAAGTTTTTTTTTTAATTGTATAGTTATATTGATAGACTTTCAATTAATTTTATTGGAAAGATTGTTTTAATATTTGATATTTCTTTAAGTTTAGTTTCGCAAGAGAACTTTTTCTCAAGTCTAGGAAATTGTCAAATTATTATAGTAAAGAATATGCCACTGGGAGTTTGAAAACTAGTGGCTCTCATTGTAAACATCTTTAATGGTGAAAATTTCTTTGTTGACAAATAATTTCCTGTAACAGGAGATCCATTACAGCAGGTGCCAAAAAAAGTCTGCAACATGATTCTAAAATAGAACGGGGCTAATTCACACTTTGGTAAATGCAATGAATAGTACTGAGTGTCCACTGTGTTCTGTGTTGCTATTACTCAAAATATGTTTGTTTGACGTGCCCAAGGAACTTGTGAGATCATGAGATCTCCATTGCATATCAGTGACCATGGATATTAAAACTGCATATGCTTATCTTATGAATCCTTGATAAGGCACATTACAATGCTACATGAATGACATTGGTTAGATTCATTTAGACATAATATTATGTTACCGGTAATTCTGGGGTGTTGAAACAGACGTCAATGCACATGTATTACCAAAATGACGAACTTTATTAGGCCATAATCAAAGTTTGTTTAAATATGACTACACTCGCAGAAAATGCCATGGAAACAGAAATTTCTTTAATTTTGTGACCAATTTTAGTAAAATTCAAACTGTACCGGTAGTAGTGAAAATTTTTCTTGCAATTTATGAATAAGTGTCAGAGACTTTCTTGATTTTTGTCTTGTGAATCCTTTAAAATCTTTGCATTATGAACATTGCTGCAGAGAAGTAAATGGTTTAACTTTCACTGCTAGAAATATTTAGGAGTTGGGCATTATACAGCATTCGTGAAGAAAAAATTTAGTGAAAGTGGGTGAAACTCTGTGTTATAGAACCATAGAGAGATTTTCACTGACTCGGGAAAATTCGCAGAAAAGCTGTTTATGGTATACACACCTTACAATAATTGATAATAGTGATTACAGAGTTTATATTGCTACTCTAACCTTTGCTGTGAAGTTAATAACTTAGGTAATCCCCCTGCTGAGATGGATGTAATATAATAGTGGTTGAATCGCCTGTTGTCTAGACTTAGGTTTAAGGGGTAAGACTGCTGTGTTGGCTAATGCTTGTTTTTTTTTCAATGAACTACTTGCAAAATAACAACAATTTTCAGATTTATGTTGAAATTTGGTATGAACCTAATTTATATAATGTTTAATAATTTTCAATTCAAAATGGCCACCATGTACATGTTGAGTGTGTTTTAGGGGATTTGGGTGCAGGGACAGAGGAAGGAAACTGAGGCTACAACCGTTTTTATTTGTTAGGAATTCGAATTTGAATGGTCAACTGAAGAAAATTAGGGTTAATATTAATCTGACTTTTTTACTATTTCATTTTTTGTAAGTTTTACCATGAAACTGAAACTGATATAACGATGTCACAATGTTGTGGCTCCAGTTACAGGCGTTGAATGCATTAATCATTCACTGGGTTTTTCTG